AATGGCCACAGCAAAAGTGCCTCCCCCTCAGATCCTGCACTCGATGAGTCAGCTCATGACTAATCCCGTCCCACCACCACCCACCGGCGTGCTGGAGGATGCGCTGGGGCGTGCCCACCACCACGTCTAGCGGCTGGGCCAGCTGCACCTTTTGCTGGCGGTACCCGGCACCTGGTGGGCGAGGGAGTGGGTGACAGTTTGAGGTCTGAGGCAGCAGAACCCCAGGCCGCCTAGGGCAGGCGCAGAGCTTTCACCAGGCCTAAGGGCCCTCTAGGAGCTGACGACTACCAAGGCGGGCACCAGGAAGGCTCAACGTCCTCCTGTCACGCAGCAGACTGCGCTGTACCCCCCACCCCACACCGTCCTGAATGCCACACTCCCACCCAACCCCATGCAGTGCCTCTCACCCCCGCTGAGGCCGGCAGAACGGAACTTGGCGTGGTGGGAGAGGGACTTGGCCACCTTTAGGATCTGGTCGGTCAGTTCGCGGGTGGGGCCCAGCACCAGGGCCCGCGGCCGGTGCGGCTTGGTGGCCGTGCCCCTCGCCTCGCCCTCCTTCAGGCTTTGCACTGCGCAAGGGAGGGTGGAGGAAGGGGGAAGTGGGGGTGGGGCACGCATGGGAAGGTGAGTGCAGGAGGCAGCATGCCATGCTGCAAGTGAGGAAAGGAGTACATCGCTCTTTGCTATTACAAGCAGACCAGGCGCCGGGGCAGCCAGCGCAGGCGGTGCATGGGGCATCTTTTTTTGAAGGGAGCCATGCAGCGCCATGCACACACCAAGGATGCCAACAAAGATGGCTAGCTACCCGATCACACTGCTATTCCTCACCCAGGGGTAGCAGGTACGCCAGTGTTTTTCCGCTACCCGTGTGGGAGGCCAGCAGGAAGTCTGAACCTCTGGACTCCAGGAGGGCGGGGATGGCTGAGCTCTGGACATCGGTGGGTGTGGTGAAGCCCCAGGCGTTCAGGGCATCATGGAGGGCGGGGCTGAGCTCCGCAAACCGCACGCCTTCGCCCTCAGTGCTCCCCGCAGGAGTTGACCGCAGCTCCTCCTGTGACGAAACGCTATGTGCTTTGAGAGGGCATCGCTGTGTATGTGTGAAGGGACGGCGCTGAAGCAGGCTGCGAGAGAATAGTTGCGTGGGAAGACGCAGGCGGAGACCGCTCAGACGGGCGCTCATGGTCGACTGCATCGGGGAGAGCCCTTCGCACGTCTCAAAATGGCACCTTAAACCATTGGGCACTTAGAGCGTACGATTTTGCATATGTAGCGAAGAGTTTTAAGTGCTTACCCACGTTTCGAGTGAGTCTTGGTGGATTTGTTCCGCTGGTGTGTCGAGTGGGGTCCCATGAGGCGCTTCACGCTCAGCACGTCTGATCTTCGGCAGATACTCTCGAAACGGGGTGCTGTGTGGGGCCGCACCGAGGCGACAGGATCGCAAGGACCAGGACCCTGCCAGGCCTGCCGCTCGCATAACCGGCATATTTCCCAAGTTCTGCGCTCTCATAGGACCCCGCCTGCACGATCTGACAGCGTGCCACCTTTCTGGCGCATCCTCACCTCTCATTCCAAGCACGCGCTCACTCTCCGTCATGGAGTGCGTCAGGAGCGCTGTCGTCATGAGGGCCAGACCCGTCCTGAGCCTGTGAGTATAGCTTTCTCTACTCTTGAGGGCCGTAGGAACCCTGCTCGGAAGGCCATGCACTGTTTCATGGCCAGCTCCTTGGGTGAGCTTTTCTCATGGAAGAAACCCTTTAATGGGAGAGCAGTATACCCTCCACTCCTGCTGTCCACAGATCGGTATCCCTTGGAGGTCCAAGGGCGCTCCACCCTCGCCGACATGCAGGCCAGCACCTTTCCCAGGTCTGGACTTGCACACAGCAAGGTGGAAGAGCCCAACCTACGAGCAGTCGCCCACATGTCTGCGCCGCAGCCTCCAACAGTAGGTTGGGATGCTCACTGCTTTCCGGATCAGCTGTTGTCTATGCCTTAACTTGTACGTCCCAAAGGTTGTCCATCATTATCTACCCACTCATGATCGCTGTTCATCTTGTAGGCCCAACATCTATAGGGGAGCCCCTCACAGAGCTGAAGGAGCTGGACCAGTCCGAGTTTTACTCCTTCATTGAGGAGCATTCGCAGGATCGTCTGGTAGTGGTCGACTTCTACACTGCATGGTAAGAGGCCATGCAGATGCTTGGGCCGGGGATGCGTAAGGAGTAAGAGCATGATGCAGGGTGGAGCTGATTTGAACCTCAAACCCGAGTGTCCTGCACCTAAAAATCTACCTGATGGCAGGTGCGGACCGTGCAAACTCATCCAGCCCACGCTTGTGGAGTGGGCAAACGAGTTTGCAGGCGAGGTGGAGCTTGTCAGGTTTGAGTGCAAGAAGGAAAACAAGGAGATTGGGTCCAAGGTGAGCCTCTGAGATGGGGGCTGCCAGAGAGGGTCATGTGAGCATTTTGAGCCAATCTTGTTACTTTCTAGTCGGACTTTAGCTTGATTTGTTGAGAATATCTGAGTGCACCATACATAAGACAGCCAATCACCTCTTTCAACACTGCGCTTACCAATGTGCAGCTTGGGATCAAAGTGGCGCCCACGTTTTTCCTGTACAAGAAAGGAGAGAAGGTTGCGTCTCTGACAGGTGCAAAGACGGATGAGCTGCGCAAGCTGATCGAGACGCATAAGTGACAGTTTGTGAGCATTCAAACCTAGCAATGAGTATGTGGATGTCATTGCCGCTTCGCTCGTGGTAGGCGGGTGGAGCCACCCCTTGCCTGGAGGAGGTTTGTTTATCATGTACCAATCTTTTCAGAGACAATAACACCGCTTGGGTCCCCAGGCCACGATGTAATGAGTAGTGGGCACTGGTGGTCAGTGGGTTTGGCCCCTCCTGTGATCCGGTCTCGAGGCAGCACCCACCACAGCAGGGTGGTGTCAATGACCTGTCTCCGGAATATAGAGTCATCACCCTTGTCGACATGGCGATCAGCTTCCGAATGAGCTAGAGCTGTTTTGTCTTGCACTCTATCGGTTCACGATTGTAGTCGAGACGGTCACCTCCCCCAGCACAAAGTGATCTGGCACGGCCCGCTCGGTGTGCGTGGTCGAGCCAGCGATCCGTCCACCATGGCTCCGTTGAAGCTCATCATAGACACGGATCCTGGCATCGGTGCGTGAAATGACGGAATTGGGTAGGTCCTCGAGGGCCCTCGCTGACCTAGCCAACTCTGCCCTCCCCTCCTCACCGTCCCCAGACGACAGCATGGCGATCCTGGCCGCATTCCACAGCCCTGAGGTAGAGATCATAGGTCTCACCACCATCTTTGGAAATGTGCCGACGTCAATGGCCACGCGAAATGCTCTCCACCTCAGAGCCTTGGCTCACAGACCAGATGTGAGGGGGGGTGGGGAGGGGAGGGCAACGTGTGTGATGACAAGACGCAGTACAGAAGATGGCCCCAAAGCATCGCAACTCGTCCTGCCAGGCACTCAGTTCCCACAATCTTGGAACGCCCAGGTCCCTGTCGCCCAGGGCGCCCTGACATCGCTCAAAGGTGTCGCCAAGGAGCGCATCGCAGACTTTGTGCATGGCAGTGATGGCTTCGGCAATACAGACCCCGAGTTTTCTCAGGTGGGTGGAATGGGATGGGGTATGGTATGTGACTCGTCAGCAGGCAGGGGCGACAGGCACTTGATGTCTTGTGTGAAGCCCTGCGGCTGCGTCCTGCATCATGTTCATCAACTTCAGGACTCAGAGGCAGCCACTCCAGGGCAGGGCTTCAACCTGTCTTGTTACTTGGGCAACACGATCCCTCATTGACGTGATGAGGCTGCACCGCGTCCTTCCCAAGCACCGCAGGAGGAGCCGCTGCCCATCTCAGCTGCCCAGTTCATCGTGGAGTGTGCCGCAAAATGGCCTGGGGAGGTGGTGGTGCTGGCCCTGGGACCGCTGACAAACGTAGCGCTGGCCATACACCTGAATCCAGACCTGCCGCAGCTGCTGGTGAGGTCGCGGGGGTTGGCCGGGGCTGTTGAGCGAATGGGTGTGGAAGACGGGAGGGCGATGGCCCCGCGATTCCCGGAGCAGCCGATTCCAGGGGTAGGCCAGGGTCCGGATCCCCAGCAACACGTCATCCAGGCACAGCAATGCACCGCTCAGTCCAAACACACCTGCTTCCCACACGCGTCAGCACAAGGTTGTTGTCCTTGGCGGCGCCTTCTTCGTCAACGGCAACGTCAACCCGGCAGCGGAGGCCAACATCTTTGGCGACCCCGATGCTGCCAACGTCGTCTTTGCAAAGTGGGCGTGGTATCCAGGGAGACCGTGGAAGTCTCCGGCATGAGTTGCTGACGCGAGGCTTCTCGCCCCGGGGTCCTCCCTCTACGCCTCGCGCCTGGAGGTCACCCCCTCCTTCATCCTCTCCACCTCCACCGCCTCGTGCCAGGGCGCCCAACTGCTGGGTGGTGGGCCTGGACGTGACCCACCAGTGCCAGCTCTCTCGCCGCCAGCTGGACGGCTTGCAGGGCGTCGGCCGGCACGGCTCCTTCCTCTCCGCCATCTCCCAGTTCTACCTCTCGTACCACAAGCACGTTGGCCTGTAGGGGAGGGGGGCAGGGACCCTCATGCCTGTATCAATGCAGGGCCACAGGGTCTGCGAGCATCAACCTGCCTCGTCTGCATGGGCAGCGTCCTCTAACACTGGGTCTAGCCCTCGGATCCCCCTCCATTCCCTCCTACACACCCTCCCCCACTGGACGCAGGTCGTCCTACGGCATGGATGCCGTGTTTGTGCATGACGCTGCCGCACTCAGCGCGGTGCTGCGACCGGAGCTCTTCCAGTGGCACGCGGGAGCGGTGCTGGTGGACACCGAGGGCGCCTTCCGGGGCCACACCCTCGTGGATGAAGGTGGGAGGGGGCGGTGCTGAAGGATGCCTCGGGATGCCGACGAGGCGCTGGCGGGCCAGGGGTTCAGGCACGTCGTCCCGCAGCAAGACCATCCTGGCGGTGGAAGGCCGAGGCGTAGAGGTTGTCTCCCTGTTGTTTTAATCTTACGCTGCCCGCGTCAAGCAGGCCCCCTGTGGTCCCCGCCAGGTTTGCCCCCCATCACTTTGTTGTCCTGCAGCACCCTCACCCCTGCCACCCGACACTGTCGCAGGGAAGAAGGAGTGGGTGGGGATGAACGAGTGGCAGACCCGGCCCAAGATCAAGGTGGCCCTGAGCGTCGACGCCAAGGCGCTGACAGACCTCGTGCTCCAGCGCATGAGCCAGTGAGGCAGCATGCAAAGGCGAAGAAAGGAGGACTGAGGATCTCTCAGGCATCCGTCCCTCCGCTGATCGATAACATCAAGCCGGTCGATGCTGCTGTCATCCTGCTCATACATGCCGCAGACTGCATTCCCGTGGCTCATGGCCCTCCTTCTCTGGCTGCTTGTTGAGATGTGTCCCTCTGCCTCTGTGTGCACAGCACTTGACGCCATGCACACCGGCAGCACAGCCGGCACAGCTCTCTCCCTGCCTCACCCACAGTGCTATCGTGCCGCCAGATGCTCGTCAGAGTTCTCAGGGAGACCCGAGGGCCAGGTAACTTGCGCGGTACCAGCTAGGATCTCTCGGATCTCGACCATGGCACGCTCCTCCTGCTCGGCCTGGGCGTTCTCCTCCAGCCCCTGAGCCTGCAGCACGGCATGCACAGCGTTGCGGACCTGCAGTGTTGGTACCATGGATTTCAGGGAAGAGGTCTGTAGGGCAAAAGAAACAGTGTTGGTGAGAACCAGCCCAGGTCCGTCGGGATGATGGATACGGCGGCTGTAGGTCGGACCATTGCCATGCATGTCCTGCCAGTCAGGGGGCATCTGTGGCATCCCTCGTCCCTCTGGACATAAAAGATGCTGGCCACCAGCCACACTGCTCCGCCCGTCCCTAACCTGGTCAGGAGTGCTGAATCCGATGAGGTGGGTGGCGATACCCGGATTTGCTACTGAAAACATGGTGGCAAGCTTGGGCAGGTCCACGGCATGAGCATCCGCCGCCCTGGCAGCAGCCCTCGCGGCCGCTTGGAGCTCCGCGGGGGCCGGGTGCCAGGCTGGCGGGCCATGCGGGGTCAGGAGGCCCATGCCCAGGACAGAGGCATTGATCACGCCGACAGCCTTGGACTCCAGATAGGGCAGGATCCTTCATGGGACGACGGTGTGCATTGGCCATGACCTTCAACGCCTCAGCACCACACAGGGGCAGCAGCACCCTCATGCCTCATGGGCACAATCAGTGCTCCACAACATGCATCTTGTCACCTGCCCAGGCTCTGGTCGCAGAGGGTATAGTGGCAGTAGGAGAGCACGACATCCACAGTTCCACAGGGGACTCTGGGCGGTGGGCGAGGTATCATTCAGGTGTTCGAGGCCCCTCGTGACTTCTCGTGGGTTGGAAGGTACACACACCAAGCAGGGGCCCAATCCCAGCACTGCCACTGGGTTCAACAGGCCGAATCTCAATCAGCAGAACACCAGGCATCACCAGGAGCTCACCTGTCAAGGACGTACTGGAAGCAGGCGAGTGGAAGGCCCGTGATCCCGATGTGCCGCACCAGCCCCTTCTCCTTGAGTCGCTGGAGAGCCGGCAGCGTCTCCGCAATGATCTGAGCAGGGTGCGGCGCCGCATGGCACTGGTGCTTTCAGAAGCTATCATGAAGTGCAAGGTACTGGAACACTGCTATGCATCCTAACACCGCCGGCTCCATGTACCAGGAGGTGAGATGTATGCCTAGCCCTTACGCTCCTGGTCTGGCGTTACCTGGTCTAGGCTTCCAAACTCCATGTCGTGGACCTGGATGAGATCGATGTAGCTCGTGTGCAGCCTTTCCAGGCTTTCCTCCACACTCCTGGTCACCCTGGGGCCGCTGCAATGGTTAGGGGTTGTGAATGAGCAGACCTTCAAGGTTATTCCTGGGGCTTCAGACCAACACAAGAGACAGGTGATTGCCCCATCATGCATGCGCTGATCCTCACATGCATCCTTGGGCTACCTGAAGTCAAAGGTGTCCTGGCCATACCGTCCGACCTTGGTGGCCAGCACAAACTGATCTCGAGGCAGTCCTGCATCCCGCAACGCCTGGCCCAGCACCTGAATTGGTCTAGGAGGTATTGTTATACGCAGAGGTACAACCAAGGGTCTGAGGTTTTGTCAAGGTGGCATCACAGCAAATATCACCGCAGCGGACACTGTGGAAAGGCAATCCCAACAATCACCACCTTTCCCCCATTTTCTCAACTCACATCCTCCGACTTGGTCAGCCCATAAAAGGGTGAGGTATCAAATAGTGTGATGCCGAGATCGAATGCGGTCCGCACAGCCTCTGTAGCGGTGTCTTGATGCACATCCTGTGAGCAAAGGGGAGGGTTGGGCAACCAGCCCTGGAGACCAAACCAGCCACCCTCCAGACGACACTGGCATTCACACCCGCGCGCACCGCTTATCACGTACCCCAAATACATTGCCGAGGGGTGAAGCCCCAAATCCAATGATTGATATTTCGAGGCCCGTGGACCCCAGAGGGCGCGTCGGCACTTTTATGGGCATCTCTGTGCTTGATAGGTCGGACCCTAGACAATGCAAGACCACTTGATGCCGGCTCTTCTCGGGCTTCTTGGAGATCTTCGGAATGTACAGCGTATGTAAATGAATAAATTCACTCCATCAATGCTGTCATCACTCGGTTCATTGATATTCATGCCGGGCAGGAGGTTTTCCACCCGACACAATCTGATTCGAGACCCGGCGGGCGCGAAGTCGAAGTCTGGTCCATCCTGAGGTGGAGAGGACAGAAACATCCTGGAGCTCCCCGTTAACGCTGCAGATACATGCGAGTTGTGTACCGACTGCATATCTTGCCGACTGACACCGCCAAACGGGTAGATGGCGGCATGTATGCTGCAGACTGTGGTGGCCAGGGCACATGCACCTCCAGGATCGTCACACCTGCGGAATCGCGGTCCAGCTGGTCATGCCTTGCAGCAAAGACCACGCATGCTGGCGGGGTGGAAACATGTGCATGGAAGCATATCATCGATCTGTCCAGCACTCCCATTTCGCCGGGCATGGCGAAGTCCTGGCGTCGAACCAAGGTTGCCGGGTCGCCTCGTAGCGGCGTCCGCTGCGCATGCCGGCTCATTGGATGGCCTTCAACCTCTCTCCAGCTACACTCCCCCAGCCCACCTCCCCACCCCGCCCGATTCGGCATCCGTCAAGGACCTTTTCCCTTACATTACCAAACTGGCTCTTTCTCAAAGCACACTTTACTGGAGGCTGGGAGTGGCATTGGTGCTCCTCGTCGGGTGTGTACATGGCAGGGTGCAGTTGTTGCTCACTTAGCGTCTGCCCCAGATATGTCTCTAACGTCCAGCTACCCATCTTGAGTCCGCTGAGGTTGTATGTGACAGGCGCATGAGGAATGCTGTTCCTCCTCTGACGACACTCTGCACTCATTGCCCTAACCCTTCTTGATTCATCTGCAGGTCCAAGGCAGCTGGTCTGTACAGCCCCCTCCTCTTTAAGCAGGCAATTGACGCGCTGTCTGCTGGAGCGACACCCACTGCTGTGCAGACGGCCTCCATGGCACTGGTCCTCTCAGGTGCCGCGAGGGCCCTGAGCAGTTTGACCCGGGAGGCACAGCATCCCATCTTCACGCCCATCTCTCAGGCATGTGGATTGGTTGAATCCGCTTGAGGGCCTATAGCCATTGTTCCATGGTGCCAGGGCTGAGCCTTTGGCCCTAACCACCACAGTCTCCTGACCTCTTCACACCGGTGATGTCAAGGTGCAAGCACACATGATCGAATCCATTGTGCCTACTTTCCTCCTACAGGCCGCTGCACGGCGCGTCTCCTTCCACACCTTTTCCCATGTCCTGAACCTGGACCTTCACTTCCACCTCAATCGCAAGGTAAAAAGGCGTGTGAGTACGGGCGATCAAATCCCCCAGTCTGCCCCGCATGATTGAATCATAGACAGCACTCGATGATGGTGCCGCGTTTCCAAGGTATAGTGCCTCTTCCTTGCAGATGTATGCAGTTCCATGCACCATGCACAACTGCCCGTCTCCCCCAATTCTCGTGCACAGACGGGCTCCCTGTCGAGGATGCTGGAGCGGGGATCTCGGTCCATCGCCGTGATCTTCAGGGCCATTGCCTTCACCGCCATTCCCACGCTCCTGGAGCTGGCTGCCGTGTGTACCATCCTGGCGCGAACCTTTGATGCCCGAGTCTCGGCCCTGGTCCTCACCACCTTTGCCGCCTATGCTGGCTGGACCATCGCCATAGCCAGAGTGAGGGCCGCGGGAGGGAGCACAAGGTTGATTGTGGGTGGCTGGGGCGGTCAGGTGGAGGGGTGCTGCATGGTGGGCACCTGCAATGACGATTTCTCGCAACATAGTGAAGAGAAGACTGAGTGTGATGAGTAGCTTGATTTCCCCAAAATATGCAGTGGACCACCCAGATCAGGAGGGAGGTCAAGGACCTGGACAATCACATCAGCGGGAAGGTGAAGGGGGGTGGATTGGTTGGCAGCAGCCAGCTTTGGAAGGTTGCTGTGTTATTGGGCTAGGCAAACTCCATGTTGCTCCGAGCTTGATGACCTTCTCAAAGCCCTGCCACTTTCGACTATGCCTTACCCTACATTACAACGCATCTCACCTCAAACTGCAACCTCCATACGCAGGCGGTGGATGCTCTTTTGAACTATGAAACGGTGGCGCTGTATGGCAACGAGCAAGGAGAGGTGGAGCAGTACGACCAGGGGCTCATCCAGTACCAGGTTGTACAGGGATGGAGAAATGTTTGAGTCCGGAGCTGACCGTATCAGTGTGCACCCTGACGCCTCTGCGGACCAAAGCCATGCATATGAAGTTTCCCAAGTCACTGTCCTTGTGGGCATACACGACCCCGGCAGCAGCATCTGAGGGATCATCCCCACACACTGCAGAAAAAATCAGTGAAGATGGAGGGCGTGTCTGCCTTGCTGAATGCGGGGCAGGCCTTTGTCCTGGCGGCCGGCATGGCGGCGGTGCTCCTGGTCACAGTGCGGAGCAAGCCGGGTGTCACAGCCGGAGACTTGGTGAGGGTGCCGGCCTGCAGGCTGCCATAAGATCAGCCTGAAAGCAGAAGAGCATGTGAATGGCGTATCTTCGGTGCAGAGGCAGGTATAATCGAGAGCTGGTCCTGCATAAATGGTGTGAGGTCAGCATGCTACACCCCCTCCCCTCCTCGTCATCTTCTCAGGTGATGGTGCAGGGACTGCTGCTGCAGGTCTGGTCCCCGCTTTCCTTCCTTGGCTGGTTTTATCGTGAGCTGCGACAGAGCCTGGTGGACCTGGTGAGTGTGGGATGAGGATGGGCAGCAGAGGGCAAAACCCGGGTCCACTCTCGCTGGATTCTGGCTGTTCCATTTGCTGAGCTCCCTTCCTCAACAACCTCACAGGAGGACATGCTCCGCCTCCTGAAGACCGACAACAGTGTCGTGGATGGCTCACACGCGCTGCCGACTGCGGCAGCCTCGGTCGCCGACGGCTCCGCGCCGGCACGGCGGGGGGCAACTCGCCAGCAGGCGTCCCAGGGACTGGCCGTGCACCTGCAGAACGTGACGTATGGCTACCCCGGCACAACACGCAATGTGCTCAAGGGCGTGTCGCTGAGCGCGGCGCCCGGGGAGAGCATCGCCATCGTGGGTGAGGATCTTTGTGGATCGGCAAGCAGGGAAAGCCTCTCTGACGCTGGCCACTGAGTGTCCTACCTACTTTGCGTTATAGGACTGTGTTTGAGGATGTGTAGTGACAAAGAGGAGGCCATTCCCCAGGCACACTTTGCAGTTGCTCCCATTATTAATGAAGGTCACCTCCCTCCTCTCCTCATGCCAGGGCCGAGTGGATCCGGAAAGAGCACGATCCTGAGACTCCTAGTGAGGCTGTTTGACGCCGGCTCTGGTGCAGTGTTTGTGAACGGCGTGGACGTACGGGAGCTGAGAAAGAAGGACTTGCGCGGCGCTGTGGGTGTCATCCCTCAGGTGCAGAAGCTTTTCAGCGATTGAGTCCGAGGATTTGGATCTTAAGAGCCATTGGTAGGGCTGGGTGACAGTCTACCCTCTGGCAATGAGGAGGATATGAAGCCCCCCATTCCTGTTTCATATTCTCTTTAACTTCCTTTTCACAGGATACGGTGCTGTTTAACGACACCCTGCGGCACAATGTGGCATACAGCCGTCCCAGCGCCACCTTCGAGGAGCTGGAGAAGGCGGCCAAGGCGGCCAAGCTGGACGCAGTGGTGGCTCGCCTGTCCAAGGGCTGGGAGTCCTTGGTGGGGGAGAGGGGCCTGAAGCTGAGCGGCGGGGAGAAGCAGCGTGTTGCAATCGCCCGTGCTTTCCTAAGGCAAGGAGCTTGGAAGGGTGCAAGGGTTTTGGTGCACAGAAGACATGATATAGGTTGCAATGGATGATGCTGCGTCGCAACCAAGTCCTGAGCAGGGCTGCTGCTGCTGGTATCAGCAGGCAAATCTGTGTTTGTTATCGCTGGGGGTGCACTCCAGTGCATGGCATGCCCTCATCAGCCGCCCCAAACCCCAACCCCCTCAGGGAGCCCAAGCTGATTGTGTGCGATGAGGCCACATCAGCGCTGGACACGGCCACCGAGAAATCCATTATGGGAAGTCTGCGTGAGTTGGCCGCCGGGAGGACCTCAGTCTTCGTGGCCCATCGCCTCTCCACAGTCCAGGCATGTGGAGAGCATCCGCAGGGGGAGCGAGAGCATTGGATTGTGAATCTGACCGTTGCTTTCGTGCCACTAGGCGTATCCCTGGCACGTTGACGGTCTTGTACTCTACTGATCTTTCCCTCCCCAGTCATGCAGGCCTGCGACAGGATCTACGTGCTGAGGGACGGCATCGTGGCGGAGCAGGGGAGCCACCCGCAGCTGCTGGCAAAGGGCGGCTTGTACCGAGAGATGTGGCGCCTCCAGGAAGCAGAGCAGGTGTTTGTTTTGAGGGCGGGTATGGAAGTCTCTGGGGATTGTACATCTGCTGCAAGTTATTAATTTGCTCAGTATACTGCAGCCTCTTGACTTTACTGTGGCCGGCTGGAGGAAGTCTGCCATCAGTGACTGCCTCAAACATACCTCTCAACCATTCCCTGATACCCCACAGGCCGTGGACAGTATCTGCTCGCACGATGCCGAGGATGCCGTCATCGACGGTCCCCTCCCCGGGACGAAGGAGGAGGAAGTCTGGCGTGAGGGCTGGCGTGAGGGCTGGCAGCAGGGGCTAGAGGAGGGGCAGGCCGCCGGCGTGGAGAATGAGGAGCTGGGAGGTGGAACTCCGGCGCAGGCTGCCAGGTCCATTGCACCCACGGCGACACCCTGATTGGGATTGCTGATCCGGGAACTGCTTTAACAAGAAACTTCCGATATGTACCTGCCATCGCTGAGCCTCATTGGCGTTGGCTTGCCAAATTCATTGGGTGACTTTTGTCAATAGTTCTCCCGTGCTTTTCATTGCTTGGGCCGCCGCTTCCCGATTCCTCCTCTGGCATCATTGCCAGATTGGCCTTTACTTTCATTCTGACGCAGACAGCAGACTCCAGGGGAACATGGGGGAACTCCGCTGGGTGCGAGAACAGGCTCCAATCGCCAAATCATGCACATCAGCAGTTGTAGGAAAGAACTTGCGACCATCCCGTGCGTCCTCGCGTCCATGGAGCACACCCCCCTCCTCAGCCCCGCCCCGCCAGGCCGACGGGTGCGACGCGGCTGACCCAGCCGCCCACCCCACTCTGTAGCGCGCCACGCAGGCTGCCCAGCACGCCACCCTCGGCCTGGCCGGGGGGTGCCTGAGCCAGGTGGGGCGCCAGCGCCGCCGCCTCGCGTTGCATTCCCAGCTCGGAGAAGAGCTACGGGGATGGTTGGGTTGGAGGTGTGGACATGATTGTATGAAGTGCATGGAAATGTGCAGCTATGGGGGTGAGGGGAGCACCAGGAATGGCGGGGCATGCCAACTCGCACCCCGCCATGGTGTCCCCCCCCTGCGCACCATGGCCTTGCGCGCGACGGCGCCGTCGCCTGAGACGCGATCCACGATCCACCGCAAGACTTCCGGCGGGGCTCCGTGAGCCCTGGCAGGAGGTGCAAGGCGGGTCGCAATATGAGAAGGGTTCTGGGTGGAAGGTATGGGCGACTTCACACACCAGTCCCCTCCCCCTTCCCCTGCCTCGGCCCCACTCCGAGAGCCTCGCCCCACTCCGGCAGCCTCGCCCCACTCACTGTGCAGCGTGGGCGTAGTGCTCCAGGGTGAGCAGCGAGTACCTGTCCAGGCGACTCACCTGTGGCATGTTGTGGGGGAGGTGGAAAGGGGGAATGCTTTGTTTGTCCTACGGCGGGTCAAGATTGGCGAGCACATCGCGGGGCCCGTACAACCTCAGCATCCAGCTCTCATCGGCGCGCAAGGCTTTGGCTTTGCATGGGCCCAGGCACCCTCCCCATCCTGAGACCCCTCCCCTCAATCAATCACTCACAGAAACACCGCCGCCGACCTCACCTTGGCCTGCAGGCCCACCCAGTCATGCTGGGCGGCCGCGGCGTCCAGGGCCAGTAACTGCGCCTGCTTCTCAGGCACCTTGTGCTCCCTGGCAAAGCGCGCCGCGGCATCCTTCAGGCCTAGCTTGTGGCACTGGCGGATGGTGCCGGTGACCGACAGGCCCAGGAAGCCCTCCCTGCATTGTGCCAGCGAGTTCATGCGGTGAGGCTGGCATGTGACATCACACCAGGTGCAGGACCCTGACACACGGCCTCATGCCTGGGACCTCGGGCCCAGGCATGGCCCCCACATGCACGGCGCCCAAGACGGCCCCATGGCTGGCTGGCTGCGCCCCTCAAGCAAACACCGCCACCTCCCCCCCCTACCTGCTGGTGGATGCTTCCAGCTCCAGCTGCTGCTCCCGCAGCCGAGCAAGGGCGGTGACTTGGGCGGCCTCGAATCGGGTGTCCCTCGTCTGCAGTGCGGTCGGGTGTTGGGCCTGTTTGCGGGGATTGAGTCAGAAGCGCAAGCCAGAGCAAGGGTGCGAGGGGCCGGCAGAAGTCTCCAACATACATTGTCCAGTCTCTTTCGATAGGCACCGGCGCAGCGCGGGTGCATTAAGCAACTTGCTCCTCTTCCAACGGCCCATGACAGCGGTGCAGGTCGTCAGCACGTCTCCGGGCATCCCATGGAATCTGAGCGATGCGAGTGTCACCCGTCGATGGACCCGCCCAAAACCCCAAGAACGCACCTTGGATTGCGCCCGGACGTATGCATCCCGACTCCGGGCCAGCTCAGTCTGGATGGCCGTTTCCCCCGCGCCGCCTGCCGTGGGTGATGACACTCGGGGAGGGTTGCAGGGCTGCACCCCACGCGAAACCGCCCGAGCAGCAACGCCCCTTGGACCTTGCAATCCAGAGGAGGCAGCACACGCAACCCACCCGGCTCAGCCAATTCCTGCTGCATGCGCACGCCCTCTGTGCAACG